CTATTTAATATCCATATCAATGATCTGCCATACAATTTTGTTAGGTTAAAACAATTATAGTTTTCTTTACGCTGATGACCTAGGCTTGAATGTTTGTTTTGAATCTAGAGATCAAATGAATCACATCCTGCAAAATGCTACGGATCTGATTTATAAGTTGTGTAATGCAAATAGATTATGACTAAATCTAAATAAATTACAAGATTTAGAAATTTGTTTCCCAAATAGGCAGCCCCTATTAAATAAGGTAAAATCTTTAAAATTTCTTGGAGTTCATTTAAATGCAAAACTAGATTGGAAGGATCACATTGACATAACCTCAACCAAGCTGTCGAAAGGTGTATACTGCTTAAGAAGATAAAAAGGTTGTGTAACACAAGATGTTTTAATAACAGTGTACTAAGCCGCATTTACAACAAATTTGACAACCAGGTTTTCCACTAGTTCTGGAAACTTTTTACTTAAATTTTTTTTTTCGCCAACTAGTGGAGCGACAAGTTTTCCACTAAATTTTGGTTTCCTGCGGAGAGTCGGTAAGATCAAATAAAGTTTACAACATGAAGTGGAAGACTAGTTGCTACGCGCTTTGCGCAAGCAACTTGTGGAAAACTATTGGAGAACTATTCCCCCCCCCCTCCACGCACCCAGAATGTGACGTCGGGCTGAAGCTACTCTTCTTTCTTAACTTTATGTCCGATCATAGAAATTAAATATTCGAAATCAATACTTGTCATTCTCTGGAAGTTTTTTAAGCTCCCGTTGCACCTCAGCTTACCACTCAACGGATCAACGTCATCTTCTCGGAGATCACCCAGCATGTCACTGCCACTGTACTTATCCCTAGCCATCAACGGTCTCACCCAATATCTTCGCGGACCTCTTGTATAGTGGCTGGCTATAATGACACAAGCACAGCCACGGCATAGAATGTATCTTCTTCGTCCGACGAAATCCTTGACACTACTGTGTAACTGTACTGATCATTTCGCGCCTATTCTTTGGCAACAAGTTTTCCAATAGTTTCTCTAAATTAGTGAGGAGCAACAAGTTTAGTTGTAAACTTTTGGTTGTCAACTTTGGTCTGCTTCAGTGGTGTGAGGATAATCATCTAATCTTAAATGCTAACAAAACCACACTCCTTCAATTTAGCATTTCTCAGCATCGCACATCCACTGACACTGACATACACGTTCTTCTTGATGATACCACTATTTGCCCCTCCCCAGATGTAAAGTTCCTTGGTTTAACTTGACGAGAACCTCAAATTTCACAAGCATATTGATCACGTTTCAAACAAAATATCTGTAGGGATTTTCATGCTCCACTCTCTTAAACATACCGTTTCGTCTGAGGTCCTCTTGACAGCCTACTATGGATTTGTTTATCCTTATCTGTCATATGCTGTACCTGTCTGCAGATGTGAAAGCCAAAGGACTCAGTTTATTTTCAAGCTTCAAAAAAAGCCTCTCCGAACTGTTTTTCCCTTCACCGTCGTCAATCCTGCAAAGACGTCTTCAAATCACATACAGTTCTAACTTTTCCTTCCATTTACATTTTAGAAACATTATCATTTATCAAGAAAAACCAATCATCATATAGCTCTCCAAATATCCATAGCTATCCTCTCCGCAACAATTTCAATCTTTCAGTACCACGACACTCAACCACTTTCTTTCAGAAAAACTTCCACTTCATTGCAGTAAAACTTTTTAATGACCTCCCTCTCCCTTTGAAAGCGAACAGGACAACAGAAAATTCAGGAGATGTGTTAAGTCCATGTTGATAAATAAGGTCTGCTACAGCGTCCGGGAATTTACTGGTAGTTTTTAACCTTATTAAACATCACAAGGGGTTGTGTGCCACAACCAAAAAACAATTTGTATATAATGTACTTAGTAGTTAATTAATTTCATAATAAATGTAATCTCTTGACTTGGCCAATGCAATGCATTGTTAATCTGGCTTAAAAAAGGACTTTGACTTTGACTTTAATTATATTGATTAATTAAAGTCGGTATCACGGAAGTTTGCAGTTGAGGGAGGAGCCTATTTACCACCTGACTTCGAAGGAGCCAATGAGGACAGTGCGTTGTTGCCAAATCTAAATAATACCAGCTGATTTAAAAATATTGTTCAGTATTTTAATTAGTGTCGTCAACGGGCGATATGGCAACGTCACACTAGCCTTGTCTTGTGATTGGCTGCCACGAACTGCAAACTTTCGTGGTCCCGACTGTAGATGTAAGTATTCATTTGCTGTGTTAATAACAGCATTGTATATTTTGTGACGATTGTTAATGCATTGTAAAATATCTACAACAATAAATGAATTTGATTTGATTTGATTTGCTTGTTTATGGATATATTTTGATCAAACTTGGCTAATTTATTTTTTATACTAAATTAAGCTATTAATATTTTACTGAAAAAACACAACAAACATTGGTACTCTTAGGTTAACACGTTCGCTACTGCAATAGTACGAAATTTTTCATTCACAAGGACCAGCGATGCACATATGCAACGGCCGGTTTCCACCCATAGACTGCCGTCACATATCTGCGACGGCTAGTCACATTAAAATAGACTGACGACGCATATTTGCGTCGGGGTTCTAATATTATTAAAATGCTTATATCTTTGTAACGGTCTATTTGAAGGCACTGAATTCCCTGCAATAGTCTACAGAGATGTCTGACGCACAACTGCGTCTTGGTCTGTAGATATGATGATTAGAGACGTCATATGATAAGTTGGAAAAACTGGTCTTTACTTTTCTGCATCACTGTATGTATGTATGCAGTATTTATGCTGCATTATCCTCTGTAGCTTTTATATTTGTTCAGTTATAAACTGTTCTTGAATAATTTGTTTTTTTTACTTACTTTTACCTCAAAACACAACCAAAATGAACTGTCGCATATATGCGACGTTTGGTCTATTTCAAGAAAACTATGATAATTTTGACTATTGTCTTTGCTGTAGACCGGGCGTCGCAAATATGCAACATTACTAAAGGCTATAAAAAATACAAAAAAACAAGAATAAATTATTTACAAACACGATTGTAGCACATTACAGTGTAAATGATCACTGTTTTACAGGTTTTCACCTGTGGTCTGTCTGTACTGTTAACCAAGTGACAGCCGGTCTATGTGTAAGATTCAAATGTATACCTCAGTCTGGGGCAATGACTGCGGCGTCGCATATATGAGACGCTCAGTAGCGAACGTGTTGAACCTAATGTTATTGAATTATTAACGTACGACACTGCGGAGGGCCCGCGGACGATGAGTGTCACTTCTGGTGCTGCCCAAGGTTCCATACTCGGCCCAGACCTCTGGAACGTCGCTTATGACAGCCTTCTGAGGTCTGAAATGCCTGAGGAAACGGTTTTGGTTGGGTACGCATACGACGTTGCAGCTTTGATAGCTGCACGTAGCGTTGAGCTGGTTAAACCGAGTTATGCGTACCATAAACGCATGGATGGCAGACCACGGTCTCTCGCTTGCTCTGAGCAAAACCGAGATCGTGATTTTGACAAAAAAACGGATTGACGTTGAGGGTGGGAGCCGTCGAGGTTCAAACTGTTCGTTCTGCCAAGTATCTTGGGGTCATGGTAGACAGCAAGCTTAGCTGGCGGGATCAGATCTTCCGTACAGCGGACAAGGCCGCTAGGGTGGTTTCTTCTCTTAGCCGGTTGATGGCCAATGTCGGAGGGCCTCGGTCCAGTCGTAGAAGGCTGTTAATGTCTTCGGTCCAGTCCGTACTCTTGTACGGTGCGGAGGTGTGGGCAGACGCACTAAATAAGGAGGCATACAGGATGCGGCTTGCCCGAGTGCAGCGTCAGGCAGCACTGAGGGTAGCATCTGCCTACCGAACAGTGTCCGAGCCCGCCGTCCTGGTGATTGCTGGAGTCGTCCCCGTCAAACTTTTGGCGGCGGAGAGAAAGGCAATTTACCGGCGCCGTGGGGAGGACGAGGCACGAACAGAGGAACGCACCCGCACCTACCAGCTGTGGCAGGAGGGCTGGGAACAGGAGACACGGGGACTCTGGACCAGGCGACTGATACAGCAAGTCCAACCTTGGGTGGATCGGCGGCACGGAGAGGTGGACTTCTTACCTCACCCAATTTCTGACGGGACACGGCTTTTTCCGGTCGTACCTGTTCAGGATGGGCAAAGCCGTGTCACCCGACTGCATATACTGCCCAGGCATTCTCGATGACGTGGAACATACATTTTTCCACTGCCAGCGCTGGGAAAGGCCCCGGATAGAGGCTCAACAGTTAGTAGGACTGCTGTCGGTGGACACGGTCATACCGATTATGACGGAGGGTGAGGACAATTGGACCTGTGTGTCACATTATATCCAGGGTATTCTCCGCGCCAAGAAGATCGACCTTGACCGGGATGCGGTGTAGGTCATTAAGAATCTAAATGCCAGAAACGGTGCGAGTCCTGAGGGCTTAGGTCACATGTTGGCCTGACTTGAAGTAATGTGACAAACAATTCCAGGTCTGTGTCCAACAGAGTAGAGGGGGTTTTTTAGTGAGTAGTCTGATAATTTTCAGGAGTCTCACACTACAGGCTGGCTACCTGTGTGCGTAAAAGCATTTTCCCTCCTCTCCCTAAAAAGAAAAAAAAAAATGTTATTGAATTGAAATAGATTTAATTGAAAATCAAATCAGGCAAATAGAAATTCACTTAGTCTGCGGGTTTGCTGCGGTGGGGGTATTTCAGTTTGAAATAGGTTGTTAAATGTAAGGTTGTGATAAGAATCACTATCTCAATCAACATAAAAGTAGCGAGAAAAGAAGCTAAAATTCCACTGCAACTAATAAAAAATATTATGCTCTCTACAGCTATACAAAATCTGAAAAGTAGCACGTACTACTGACGTGTCACTACTTGTAGCATGCTACTTCCCAACATAGCCCAATAATCACGAACAGAATTGACCTCTAAATAGTTTGCTAAACCTATTTTATTTGTTCTAGGAAGGTAGCAAGAACACCTGGGCTTCACAAGCAACTGATCAATTCACCATGAGTGCATTTTCGGACTCTCTATTCAGCCTTCAATTTTTATTGTGATGAAGCTTATTTAAGACTAGTGATTGTTGGGCTCTTTTTAGCCTGTATCTTTATACATTCCAAACTGAGTTATTTTTTTCATATTTGATTTCAGAGTGTTGTTAAATGATTTGACAACAATATTTTTACTGTTTCTTGTCTTTGAGTTTATAATAATTAATTGTTGTATATTTTAGTAATAAGTTTATGAGAATAATGTGCTGTTGTAAATTCAGAGTTTGAGTTTAGCATTTTATTGTTAAATTTGGAGTTGATGGACATATTGTTTTTACTGCCTTTTGGGAAATTATCGACAAAAAGAGCTCAAATTTTGTACAGATCAGTGATAAAGTTTTCTTTATTTTCATTTTGATTGGTTTTTAACATTTGCTTAGTTTCAATATTTAGAATGTCCTTGGTTTTTACTTTGGCTGTAGTTGCAAATCCGTTTTTGATGATATGAACAATGTTTTTATGGAGGAAGAATCACCGAGTCTGAGTAATTCATCAACTTTGGTAAACAAATATTTTACAACCAAAGATAATTAAATTATTCAAACCTGAAAACCATGTGCAAACCATGAATTTTGACGACAATGAAAACCCTAGACTGTCCCTTGAATTTTGAGGTTAAATCTTTCTGAAATTCTACAATTTTAACAAAATAAGCACTACTCAAGATCTTAACCAAGATGAAATATTCAAGTTATTTTATTCTTCCTTGCAGTTTTTACTATTATATTCAATTGTATCACTAACTATCATGAACAAGTCCTACATAAGTCAAGCAAATGACCAGGATTTGTAGTATTTTCTTAAACAAAGGCAGTTTTAGTGTCTTGTTTGTTGGAGATCTTGGTGATTTCCACACCTTGATACTTTCACGTGTTTCTTCATTTATGATTGGAATTTTCCAATAGGCTTTTTGATTTGAAGCTGACTGCTCATCAAGATGAGTTTAAAATTTAATTTTGTACAAGTGTTGTGTGATTTCCACCATTTTGAACAACGGCTATGAGAACCCAGTCCAATTTGTTAGTAGCAATTAACCATTTATTTATAACATGTGAATGCCAATAATTTATTTTGTCTGTTTAAATAAATATTGTGGTATTTATCTTAAGTTGCTAGCAATAGCATTATATCATCTAACATGATAGGAGGAAAAATACTAGGTTAAGGTAACATTAAAAAGGAATTTGTTTATTATAAATCCAGTGTTGCAACCAGTCCAAAAGATACAATGAGTCCATTTGTATTATTTGTTTGAAAACAAATTTAGTTATTAAATTTAAAGTTTATTTAAAACCTAAGTGATTGTAAATCTAACCAATATTGTATATGAAATATAACTAAGCCTATGGTCTCCACTCAGGCAGTGTACCCAACAGGGCAACCTTGGGTTTAAAAAAGGAAACCTAATGAAACACGAAGCTTCTAGGTCTAGGATTCAGGTCATAATATGCTACAGTACCAGTAAAATAGTTTGCATTCACCGATCTTCCTCCTATTCCACACCACTTATCCAGTGAATTGTAAACCTTTTTCCGTCACCTCTTTCCCTCTCCCAAACACTCCAAATACAACAGGAAAACATTTAAGTGACTTATTAGAATCAAAATCCCAGACAAAACAGTTTGTCACTCAAGTACAACTTATATTTTATGTTATTTTACTAATTAAATGTGTAATTTGTGATATTTTAAAGTTAGAGTTCATTGTTACATTATTTTAAGTTTGCCTGAACAATGTATGAAAATAAATGTTACTTTAGTTATACTAGTCAAATAAAGCTAAAATGAAATTAGGGGAAATTTACTTAAATGTCGGGTAAAAGAATTTGGGAATGTTTTGTTTTTGTGATATCTTTATCAAAATGTAATTAATTTGTTTAAGGAATTATTATATTCTTGTAAAATGTATAATAAACTTTGATGACAGTGTTACTTGTCTAATCTAGCCTATTGAACTTTGTTACCTCAATCAAGTTACTTTAAAAGTTGCTTTAGTACAATAGACAATAGACAAATTTCTTTATTATTATTTTCTTTGAAAAATACAATAGCATCATGTTTGTTTAAATCTCTTGCTTTACAAGTATTTTCTGGTATTCTATCTTTCTTTGTAAGAGATTAAAAAATTCTTCGGCTGAGTAAACAGATTGTTTTGCCAGCCAGTCTTGCAGTCCCTGTTTTAGAGTGTTTCCTCTCATAGTCTTGAGATCTTGGGGCAGTGCATTGATGATCTTGTGGCTGATATAGGATGGTTTCTTACTGTTACTGAACTGTATTGTATTGTGTGCAGGAAGGCTAACCCAAAAGTCTTCTTGTATTCATTCTGTTTTGCTCGTTCAGCTTCAATTTCTTCATCAGTACTTTTTTCAAGCATTAGATTCAATACTTCTTTATCAATTTCTTCCAACTCATTGTACCTTTGGTATTACTGTTCTACTAAATGTTTTTCTCATAACCTTCCTTCTTTTTATTCATAGGCATGCACTGTGGATGCGATACTCCCTGGGGCCCTGTTTTTGAAATGGTTGACTGTTGAGTTGAGTGTTGAGTCACTCACTTTCCAATCGTTTTGTATTTTTCAAACGATTGACAGTTGACTCATATACTGGGGTAGGTTAGCAACAAATTAATCCAAAATATTTCACATCTGGCAACCATGTGACGTTCCAGATCGCTCCTGCTAGCTTCAGTGAAGAAGGGGGGGGGGGGGGGGTTCAGTGAGGGCAGATAGTCACAAAAAAACCCTTTTTAAACAAAAATTAAGAATTAATGAAAAGAGGAAAAATTAATTAATCTATTCTTGCATGGATCAAACTTTATAAACAAATATCATAATAAACCAGAAAAGTTTATCTTAGCTTAGGCCTACTTGTAGATTCAGTTTACTGTTTAAGTCACTGTACCTAAAGATTCAAAATTATAATCTATTTACTCAAAAGACTAAGGCAAATCAGTTATCAATTATCAATTATTTGAGATGGGGACGCCACTATGTGCGTATTTTAACCCAAATATGAGTGAAGGATGAGTGTAGGATGAGTGGCGCGATCTTGTAGCCTTGTTAGTGACTAAGGCCGACATGTTCCTTAGACACAGCTGTTAATTAATAGCCCATACAGCTAATGGCAACTAAGGGACCTACAGTTTATAGTGGAATCCGAACCACATTTTTTCCTTGTAATTTACAAATTGGTTTAATTATCAGGATAGTACTGTGGATTGTCGTAGTACTCACTAGTGCGGACGTTAATCCACACCAGGGAGCATCGCATCCATAGTGCATCCCTATAAATATCCACAATTCGTGACCTCCTAGTAGCTGGATTACAGGACGATGCCACCCGTCCCAGTTTTTTTCCCAAACAAAAAAAAAACCTATAATTCAGCCTCAATAATTTATTTAGATCAAAGTGCCAGAACAACTGACTTGATAAGGCTATACTCAGATAGCAAGGCCAAAAAAAAGACAAAATTGACAACTCTTAATTATTGACTGTGGAAGTTTCAATACTAATTCCTAAATACAACACAACAACACAATATTCATCAATTGTCAGTTTGGTGGCCACCAAATATTTGTTTCAACACGAACACCCTAGACATAATAAAACATACACACAAATTCTTAAGATCTATATATATATTTATGTTATACAACTAATCTACTGCTGGGAAGCGTCGAGTCTGGCAGTAAATGTGGTGAACACCCAGTTTTGCTGAAAGTTCAATGTCCAAGTCCGCCTAGCGTTCACTAAATAGGGATATCCCACACAAAATGTCTACATAGGCCTATCAATAATCAAAGACGATCGACTTATCACCACCAACTTACTTATTGGGTCTGTAGCTCCAATCCCAGGTACGACACGCCAGGGTAGTCCCGCAATGTCCAGTAGCCCAGTCACAGGTTGTCACCACCACAAGTCTCAGGTAAGCCAGGCCAGTGAACTCCGCACGTCTCAGCCAGGTAGGTAGGTAGGTAGGTAGGTGCCTCCGTACAAGGTAGATCCACCACAGCAAGGTAGGTCCCAGGGGGAAAACCCTCTTCGCAAAAGTTGCAAAAATCCTCAAAGTGTGAGACGAGGGTCTTCAGGTAGAAATTCAGGTTAACTTGCTCTAATTAAATCCCAGGGCTGAGTGAGGGTCAAGTACAGGCTCCTTAGACCGTTGGACTCTATGCCGGTTGCAGCAGGCTCAGCCATCACGTGACCTAGTCATTACTCACGTAGGCCATGCTGACCACTAACTTGGAATTTCCTTAGTAATCCACTTGCTAGGGGGGTTCCTGTGTGCATTTTATGTATAGAAAAACACCCTAAGGGATCATGTAGGTACTATGTGGGTTATCATTTTTCACGTGGGTGCCAGCTTGGCAGAGTGGGCATAACCTCAGAATCCGCCATTTTAAAAATGGCGGCGGCATTTATTACATGAAACTCATTAGGAGCTTATATCTCGAAAACGGTAATATATAGCGAGTTACTTTTATAACAATAAATGTAGCTTACACAATAAGGAAAAACTTTTGTATTTACAAAAATGCCCTAAATATAACTATTTAGGAGTAGTTGAGCAATTTATGTTTTTTAATTTGATCTATACATTTTTACTCTGTTTGAAAAAAAATTCTAATATCTTTAAAAAAATAAAAAAACTCTTTTTTAAATTTGGCACATAGCACTAATTGCTCTTTACATCTAAGGTCTAAATACCCCCGTCGCAGCAAACCTGCAGAATCAGCAAACATTTACCTGGCTGCATTTCTACTAAAATATTAAAATTGATCGATTGATTTCCTATTTAAATGACATTGATTTGTAATGAGTACTTACGTTTGCTGCTTCAGGGAAGGTATTTAGGTGTTTTTTATATATTTTTATTGAAATGTTGATAGCTTAGTATGAATGAAACAAAATTTTTGAAATTTGACTATAATATATCCATAAACAAGCAAACTAAAACAGTTTATTTATTCTCCATAAGAATAACATGGGAATTTTAAACTTAAAATTTTTTTAAAATTATTTCCGTAACTTTTGGGCATACAACGCTTCAATATACAAAGTTATTTATTTTTTGAGCTCTACAAAATGGTTTCGTTCATTATAAAATGTCGTGTTTTTAGGGTCGAAAATCGGAAAAATCCATTTTTACCCCATTAAACTCCCCATAAACCCCCGTTCCCATAGTCCGATCGTGCTGGTATAATAGTCCGAATTCGTCTGAAAACGTAGGTTTACACGTTTGTGATAAATTTCATCAAAATTGGATCATTTTTGCTCGAGTTATCAAATTAAGTCGTAGTTCTGTCTTCGGATACAGATGTCGTAGTGTTGGCTTTACACTTTATGAATGGATTCACTTCGGAAGGTTTGTAGGATTTGTGGATGCGACTTGGTACAGCCAGAACTTCATGATATGTACTAGTAGTACAGGTAAAATAGGGTTTTATAAACAACAAAATTTGTACATTCATGAAATTTCACCTGTGAGTTACTAATAATATGAGAAATGAAGATCCGATGGTCCCCAAAATTTTGGGCGTCCTAGGGCCCTTTTTGGGGCCCTTTTTGTTCCGAAGGGCCCTTGTTCCAGAATAATTTTGTTTTTACGTTTAAGGTCGAGTGAGGTGTGGTTTTCGATGGTTTTAGTTATTTTAAATCGATTGGGACTAGTTTTAAGTGTATTAAACCACTCCATACAGGGTGTTTCAAAATATTATTACTTTTTACGATATTTAAACGTTTATTCATAAAGTAATAAAATTAGTTACCTCCATGCTCTATATAAAAGGGGATTATTGAAAATAATTGTAATTCTTTACTACGTAAAGGAAAAGGATCACAAGGAGTAAGAGAAAATATTAAATACCCCCGTCACAGCAAACCTGCAGACCTATCGAATTTCTGTTTTACTTACTTGATTTTCAATTAAATCTAAAATAGCATTGCGTTTAACGATTACCTAGGTTTGCTGCTACAAGGAGGCTAATAAAGTGTGTTTATAGTAAAATATTAATGGCCTAGTATAAAACAAATCAATTTGACAAGTTTGATCAATATATATCTATTAACAAACAAACAAAATCATTTTACACTATTCTAAATCAGAATAACATGGGAATTTTAAATTTACAATTTTAGTATTTTTTTTCCGTAGCTAAAACCATACAAAAACACGTTAATATACTAAATTATTTGTTTTTAAGCTCTTTAAAATGTTCTAGAGAAAAATTGGGAAACTTTGTGTTTCGAGGGTAAAGTAAATGAGAACACTCAATTTTTACCCCATAAACCTCGTTCCCATTGTTCAGGACAAAAATGCTTGTACCGACAATGCTGCTCTGATGTCTTAGTGCTGTCCTGGTCAAAAGACAACCATCAAAGACAACCGTACTCGTATTGATTGAAAATATTTTTGAGGAACTTAAGATACAAGTTGCAAACGTCAGTATGTATGAAAGGTGTTTTTGCACCACATTGTTCGTGCTTTAAGATTGGTGTTGCCTGTTCTGCAATATGCAAGGTTTGTAAAGGGGAATCCAGCTTGAACACCAACTTGGACAAAATCAGTAAAGATGGACAAGTTGCTAAGAATAATAAAATTGTTAATGAGTCGTCTGAGAATAATTATTGTGATGATGAAATTGTAAAGAGAGATACTACGAAAATTGTAGAAAAAAAGCTTTAGTTTAAGTATGGTTTAAGTAAATTTTTAGGTAGTTTAAGTCATTTTAATATGTAATGTAAGGTTTTATACAAATACAATTGTTTTAATTTTTAATAAATGTAAAAAAATAACTTAAATAACTACCTAAGAAAAATACATATCAATTTGAAATTGGTCTTAATAGATTTGCATAAAAGACACATTGAAAGATTATTCATACCACCTTAAAAGTTGAAATTTTTGCGTAGTAACCTATGTTATTATGTTATACTGTAAAACTTAATCCACCCCCTTTTACCCACCATATAACCTAACCCCCCTTTACGGGGGATAACTTATCCCCCTTTAACTTCCAATATAGGAAATAAGCTATTACCGAAGGTCTTATAGTAAAACATAGACCCGAAACCGATTTATGTTTTCATTTTGATGCCCCCAGAAGCCTAAAGCACCATCCACTTAAAATATTATATATGTGTTTATATACCGTACATATATATAATATAATATATCCATGTTATATACGTGTCCGTAAACATGATAACTCGAGTAATTTTGGTTCAATTTTAGCAAAACCGGCATAATCGGTCCATGGAACAGGGTTTTATGAGGTAAAAATTTATAATCTTTGACCCTCAAAACACAAAGTTTCCCAATTTTTCTCTAGAGCATTTTAAAGAGCTTAAAGAAAACAAATGATTTAGTATATTAACGTTTTTTGTTAGTGTATTAGTTACGAATGAAATTCAAAAATTGTAAATTTAAAAATCCATGTTATTCTTAAGGAGAATAGTGTAAAATGATTTTTTTTTTATAGATATGTCTTAATAAAACTTGTCAAATTTATTTGTTTTATACTAGGCTATTATTATTTTACTATAAACACACTTTATTAGCCTCCTTGTAGCAGCAAACCTAAGTATTCATTAAACTCAATGCTATTTTAGATTTAATTGAAAATTGGGCAAATGGAAAATTTGCTTAGTCTGCAGGTTTGCTGTGACGGGGGTACTTAATATTTTCTATTACTCCTTGTGATCCTTCCCTCTTATATAGTAAAGAATTAAAGTTATTTTCAATAATCCCCTTTTATAGTAGAGCATGGAGGTAACTAATTTTATTACTTTATGAATAAATCTTTAAATTGTATAAAAAGTATTTATATTTCAAAACACCCTGTATGGAGTGGTTTAATACACTTAAAACTAGTCCCAATTGATTTAAAATAACTAAAACCATCGAAAACCACACCTCACTCGACCTTAAACGTAAAAACAAAATTATTCAGCAACAAGGGCCCTTTGGAACAAAAAGGGCCCTAAAAAGGACCTTAGGACGCCCAAAATTTTGGGGACTCATCGGATCTTCATTTCTTATATTATAAGGAACTTACGGGTGAAATTTCATGAATGTACAAATTTTGTTGTTTATATGGAGTGTTTTTGTATTATTTTACCTGTACTATATATAGTTCACATTACAGCAAACAGGCTTGGAAGTAACCTTTGCTCAGTTCTCTCAGCACTCCATATTTTAACGGGCTGTGACTTTGCCAGCAAATTTGGAACAAAGCGTGCTACCCTAAAATGTAATCCAAGTACAGTACTTTGCTAATGGACTTTGGAAAAGATGAGGAGGAAGAGATAGAATAAAGTTTGAAAAACACAGTGAAGTATCTAGTTCACATTAAAAAAAAGGATACTCAATGTGAAACTATGATTGATCTAAGACACTGGATATACTTACACTGTCACTGTACAAAGAATATCCTTAGCTCGTAAAGATTTTCTGTCTGGTAGAGCTACTATACAGCATATCTTACGTGCTTTTTATTGTAGCCTACATACATCCAAATCCATTGCATGGAAGAACACGTTTTTCAACTCGATCCTTTGAGTTTTGGACACAGTGATGGTGGTTACTCTTTGCCGCAATGCTCACAAGTATATTGTGAACAGTTTAATTTTTCTGATGACTATAAAAGGGAACAGATATAATTCCTCTTAACCCAAAAGGCTTATAATTTAGATCCAATAACTGCGCTCAAATTTTATGATCCACGAAACTAGTTCAATATCAATACAATCAGTCCAAAGCAGCCTACCACCAAGGACAATGTCAAGGTACTGGTTGTGTTAACGCGACGTCAATGCTTGGCCGATGCACCAACTTAGCCGCCGGTCCCGTTCCCGCTCCATCGCCGTTTTAATAATAAATGTTATGAATTATAATAATAATTTCTATTACATCCGTAGATTATTTATTATTATTTGTAATAATAAAAATTCAGTATATAGAAAGGTTTATATTTATTTTTATATTTGTATGCGTCATTTAATAACAAAAAATTAATTTAAAAATATGTTATATTATTTTAATAGCTTATATATCTGCCAGAAGCTTCTCGAATGCTTTTTGCAGGTTTTTTACCCTAAATGCGAAGAAATAATTTTTGCTATGTGCCAAATTACAAAATAACAGCTTTTTTTATAATTATTTGATTTTTTTGGCAACAGAGATAAAATGTATAGGTTAAATACTATGAATATGACAATTTTAATATTTTAGTAGAAATGCAGCCAGGTAAATGTTTGCTTAGTCTGCAGGTTTGCTTCGGTGGGGGTATTTTGACCTTAAATATAAAGAGAAATAAGTGCTATGTGCAAAATTAAAAAAGAACAGTTTTTTAAAGATATTAGAATTTTTTTGTCAAACAAAGTAAAAATTTATAGGTTGAATTAACATAAATTGCTCAACTACTCCTAAATAGTTATATTTAGGGCATTTTTGTAAATACAAAAGTCTTTCCTTATTGTGTAAGCAACATTTATTGTTATAAAAGTAACTCGCTATATATTACCGTTTTCGAGATATAAGCTCCTAATGAGTTTCATGTAATAAATGCCGCCGCCATTTTTAAAATGGCGGATTCTGAGGTTATGCTCACTCTGCCAAGCTGGCACCCACGTGAAAAATGATAACCCACATAGTACCTACATGATCCCTTAGGGTGTTTTTCTATACATAAAATGCACACAGGAACCCCCCTAGCAAGTGGATTATAGTGCCTTCAATCTGGCAAGGCAAAATGCAACACAGCCATGCTGAACAATTGGTATCGGCTGGTCAGGAGCGCACATCCCTACCAAGAAATTATGTCAAGGTGATCAGTCTTGACTCCGATCAGTATAATTGTTGCAAAAACGTTGCAAACACTCCCCCGCCAGAAGAAAATTGCCTCAATTTTCTCTTCGTTTAGTGGTATGGTTTGAGGTCCGACACATGCCATGATCCTAAGGGGTTGCCCTTTAAGTCTTTTAGGTCATAGACAACTGGTGATACTCTCTCGTGGGTGAGATAGGGACCAGGGTATCTGGGAGCGAGCTTTGCTGAAAAGTGAGCTGCAGCATTAGATATGGGAAAGTTTCTCTTTAGAACCAATTAAGGATCCTTCCTTGAAGACTACCTCTCTTCTTCGTAGATTATACCTTTCTGCTTGTTTCTCATGAGCCTCCCGAAGCTTTCCATTAACATCTTTGTAGATATTCTTCAGTTCCTTCCACCTATCTCCATACGCCGAAGATTCTTCTACTTGGGAAGCTTCTTCCGATGAGTTGGTTGGATCCGCATCTTCATTGATAGCGATCAACTCTCGTCCAAAGTTGAGGTATGCAGGACTGTAGCTGGTGGCTTCATGTTTTGCCGACCTGAGAGCAAATCCGTATTTAGCTATGTTACGGTCCCAGTGGCGGTGGTTCTCTCCAATGTAAGCCCTAAGCATGGGTCCTAAAGTTTTGTTAACCCGTTCGATCGGATTGGCTTGAGCATGCCTCCTTGCATTGTACAAGAGCTTTATATTATAACTCCTGGATAGTTCTTGGACTTGCTTTCCTCTAATCTCTGACCCATTGTCACAGATTATGTAGGAAGGGACTTCGAAAAGCATGAACACGTCATCCTCCAGTTGCTTGGCAATGGTGCTCGCAGTAATCTCCCTCAAGGGAAACAACAAAGGAAATTTTGTAAATGTACACATCACGACGAATAAGTACTTGTGGCCCGCAGAAGATCTTGGAAGCGGTCCGAGGACGTCAGTACTAATCATCTCAAAGGGCTTAGCAACCCCACGATAAGACCCCATGAAGCCAGAAGGCCTCTGCTGATCATATTTTACTTGCTGACAGATTTTACAATGATTAACATATCGAGCAATGTCTTGCTTCATCTTGGGCCAGTAGTAGTTTTCTTGAATTCTTGCATAAGTCTTGTTGATGACCAGGTGTCCGGCGTAGGCTCATCATGATACTGTGACAAAATTCCTCCTCTATCGTCCTTAGCCACTACCTTCTTCCATCCTTCCTTGTCATCCTCAATGGGTTTCTTGGTAGAGACAAGTTTTCAGAGTTTTCCATTCTGAACTTTCCAACAGGGAAGGGATAGTCATTAGGCTTCTCTTGTACTTCTCGGCACATTTTCAAGTACCACTTGTCCCGTCTACCCTCTTCTTCATCTCCTTCAGCTAACTCCTCTTGGGGTTCTCGATCCTCTGATTCCAGATGATTCTGATCTTCAGGCTGGTGATCCACAGCATAGACTTGGGTCTTCCCTTCTTCTTCTTCGAATAACGTAGTCCTAGAGAGAAGGTCAGGCACTACATGCTCCTTCCCCTTGCGGTGCACAAGGTCGAAACTATACGGCTGCAACCGCAGTGCCCAACGAGCAAGTCTCCCCTGAGGGTCTCTCAGATTGTGAAGCCACAATAAGCTGTAGTGGTCAGTAAAGATTGTGAAGTGTGTTCCTTCCACATAGGGCCGAAACTTCTCGACTGCCCAGATCACTGCGAGGCATTCCCGCTCTGTAGCGGAATACTTTTGTTCTGCCTTCGTCAGTGTTCGGCTTGCATAGGCAATTACATTTTCTCCCAGCGGCTCATTAGTAATTTGGTCTTTAAGCTCACTCTGTTGACTTAGAACAGCACCAAGTCCCACTCCTGAGGCGTCACAAGAAATAGAGAAAGGTTTAGAAAAGTCCGGACATGTCAGAATTGGGGCTTTTACTAAGCAGCTTCTGATGTCCTCAAATGCTTGTTGTGTCTCATCTCCCCATTCAAACTTTTGCTTCTTCTTGAGCAGATTTGTCAGCGGGTACATTCGTGTGGCAAAGTCGGGTATAAAGCGCCTGTACCAGGACGCTGTTCCACAGAACTGCCTGACTGCCTTTTGATTCTTCGGAACCGGAATATTAATGATGGCTTCCACTTTTCCAGGGTCAACTCTTAAGCCTGTCCGATCCACAATGTACCCAAGATAATGGAGCTCTGGTCTACAGAAGTTGCACTTGTCAGCGTTAACTGTCAATTTGGCTGCTTTTAGGCGTTCAGCTATCTTCCCCAATACCTTTAGGTGGTGCTTAAAAGACGATGTGACAACAGCAATATCATCCAAGTACACGAATACGTTTGGCTCTAGATCTGCTCCTATCACCAAATCTATGAATCGCTGCCATGTCGCAGGAGCGTTATGTAAGCCAAAAGGCATAGTAACAAATTCATAGAGCCCTCTGCCAGGGACAGTGAAAGCCGTTTTGTCTCTACTTTCTGGGGCCAATGGGATCTGCCAATAGGCAGACTTGATATCAATAGATGACAGGTACTGCGCATCTCTCAAGCGATCCAAAATTGTCGTGACAAATGGGAGGGGGTATGTATCACGCTTAGTTACTGAATTCAATTTCCTACAGTTTACGCAAAAGCGTTTCGTACCATCCGGCTTGTCGATGAGAACAATCGGTGAGGACCATCCACTTTTCGAGGGTTGGACAACTCCAAGTTTCAACATTTTGTCTAGCTCATCATAGACTTCTTGGAGGCGGGCTGGTGACATAGGGTAATACCTCTGTTTTATGGGTGTAGCATCACCAGTGTCTATTAAATGTTCCACCAGGTTAGTCCGTCCGAGAGTAGTATCTTCATTCTTAAAATTCTTCTCAATGAAATCTTCTAACTCCTCCTTTTCTTCCTCACTGAGATACTCCTCAGATTTTATACCACTTGAAATGTTGATTGCGGCCACACCTGCTTTCGGTCTTGAAAATTCCCACGTAGTATTTGACATGTCGGTAACTATCTGCATTGAATTCCAGAAATCGATACCCAAGATGCACAATGCGTATGCTGCAATGACGGCACAATCATTACTGGGATATTTTTAGTTCTATCTTCCAGGTTAATTGGCACTATCATTTGGCCTGTGATTGAATGTTTCTGAGCATCAGCGGTCTCCATCCAGCGATTTTCTAGCTTCTGCATTTTGGCCGGTACTTTTTTAATCCACTGAAGTCCATTCTTCCCAAGTATGGTATGGGATGCTCCCGAGTCCAACAAAGCCCTAACCTTTTTCCCAAAAATCCTAACATCTAAGTATGGACGCCTATCATTTACTTTAAACTGAATTAAAATCCATGTTTTAGCCCCTGAGCTGTATAATAACTAAAAATAGGCTTTACCTTCGTCACTGCAGCTCAAATTCTTGTGGTGTAACTATGTTACGGCCGTTTCGTACATAGACGACAAAAATCACGACATGAACGATCTGAACACTGGCTTAGAAATACTCCACACAAGTAAGAAAGGCAATAGACTGGACACCCTAGAAGAGTATGAAATTTACAAAGCTTACACCGAAAATAATTTGGACGATATAATTTTAAACGACAAACTACAGTACAATTCACACTTCATATTCAATAGCATTTTAAATCAGAAAAACAACAAGAAGCCAGGAGTACAAAGTTCAACTGATAACGCCACCACACCGGGCTCGACATAGAAATCTTCCAGTCGGTTTTTGCTCGGAACGGGAACATGTCACCCGTTAGTACGACAGGCCTGTTCGGTTTTTGTAAATATTTTAAATGTATAGTATTGTTCGTATGTGTTACGTGTTTAAACTTCAACGACGCTACTTCAGCCGAGTTTGTGTTTTTGTAGTCTGACGATGGCATTATAATGCCGAAACGGCCGTAACATAGTTACACCACAAGAATTTGAGCTGCAGTGACGAAGGTAAAGCCTATTTTTAGTTTAAACTGAAGTAGGAAATCGATTTTGTTGATTTCAGGTTTTAGTTTTTGAAGGGAGTCAACCCCCTCTGCGAGCTGACTCCCTGCCTTACTCGTTTTTTGGCGAGCATTTTATACATTTAGTCTTTATCACATCCTGTTGACCACAGCCGTAACAAAACCTTTTACGAGGCTCCTCACAATCAACATGACGATGGCCAACAACACCACAGTTCCAACATTTAGTGTTTGCATTGGGAACCTTAGGAGGTCTAGATGGTTGTAACGCTGCTACTTTTGAGGGCGAGAATGTCTTTCGCTTGTGGTATTGAGCGCAAGCTAAGTCAGGCTCCAATGTAGAGGAATTTCCTGAAACAGACCTAGGCAACAAAGATCTCAGTCGGCCTGCCTCCGCTTTTCGACCCATGAACCGAAGTTCTTCAATGCTGTTTATGTCAAACATAGCGAGTCTATCCTGGAGCTGAGGATTAAGATTATTAAATATCTGCTTTAACTTCACGTGTTCCGGTACATTCTCCGATAGTCTAGAGTATAGGCCCTCCATCGCTGCGATAAACATGTCAATTTGTTCTTGTTCTTGGTCAACTTGCACTCTAGTAAATATTTCATGATGGAGTCGGAACTCATAATCAGGAGCCTGAAAAACAGTTCTCATCTCAGTACATAAAGCCTTCCAGGAGCTTATCCTGCATACTGTCGACCGATACCATACAAGTGCAGATCCCTCAAACAAATCAACAGCTGATTCAAATAACTCTTGTTCGCTGACTCCACGAGCTCTTCTTAATTCCTCCACTCTCTCCAGGAACGATCCTACACTTTGCTTTGATTCATTGTTAAATCTGATGCCCCATTTATACACTGGAACAGCGTTGGTCTTGTGGTATTTTGTGCTTGCATTAAACATTTCCTTGCTAGGCTGGAGATCAGAAGATAGCATTTAATCCTTCCTTAAATTCAATGGTGGAAGCCCTGGCAGCAAAGTTTCAGATGTACTTGTCTTGACAGACTGCTCTTGTTGTACAAGGTCCTTTGTAGCATCAACTGTGATTGGTTTATTGTCCTGACCCAAAAATTCATCCACCAATTCAAGGTTAGATTTCTCCGCCAAATTTAATTTAGGATCGGACACAGCTTCAGGTACTACTTTCTCCGCAGATGTTTTCTTCTCCTTAAAAGACTCTAGCATACTCTTTGTTTTCTCTAGCAGTATTGTCCTTCCCTGCTCATCATCATCCGCTGAAGCTCCGACAGGAATCCTCTCAATACATGCATACAAATGTTGCAACCTTGCAGTCAACCGCTGGTATTCATGATCCTTTCCATTGCCCTCATAAGAATCTACTAGTAAACCAATATCTTCAAGTTTTTCAGTGCATTTCTCCAATTCTGACTCAGGGTTCAACTGGTTGACTAAAGACTCCTTCACCGGAACATTAGTTGAGAAACATCGGTTAAGTCGTATTCTAAGGTCGTCCGCAGTACCCACATGGTCAACACCTCTTATCATCAACTCATATGCGACTTCTTCCTTCCTAAGGTGGTTAGCTGTCATGTTGAGTGCAAATTCAAAGTTTCAACCAACAGCAGAAAATCTTAGTTATACTAACACCCGCAAAAGTAATCCAAAACCTGTTAAAACTACCTCTAGGTCACAGTAAACACAATATACCAACCTCTGGGCAGCCATCAGATAACTTCCTTCAATATAAGAGTATGGCAAACTTTCAAAAATAATCTCTATAATCCTAACACCAGGTGAGCTTAAGAAGTGCTAAATGCCCCGCGTTGGAGCGCCATTTGTGACATTCCAGATCGCTCCTGCTAGCTTCAGTGGAGAAGGGGGGGGGGGGGTTCAGTGAGGGCAGATAGTCACAATAAAACCCTTTTCAAACAAAAATTAAGAATTAAAGAAAAGAGCAATAATTAATTAATCTATTCTTGCATGGATCAAACTTTATAAACAAAATATCATAATAAACCAGAAAAGTTTATCTTAGTTTAGGCCTACTTGTAGATTCAGTTTACTGTTTAAGTCACTGTACCTAAAGATTCAAAATTATAATCTATTTAAAAAAAACACAAAAAATTTTAAAAAGCCAATCAATACAAATCTTTTTAAGTTTGTAGGCCTAAAGGTAAAAA